TTCTATTCAAAATCAATCTGTTCGTTCAGGAAGAAGTCAACGTTCTAAAACACGAAACAATTCAAAGAATCCAACTCAAGGATGATACTTTGTGAAGATCCTAACGTGCTACAAGGGCTCGAGGATATATTGAATAAATGTAGAAATCCTATGTAAGCAAGAAATTATCTTTCGATTTGTATCTCAAGAATATTCGTATTTTCTTGAACTTACGTATGTTGAAACCATTATATAATGAAATCTTTCATTTGACCCATATTGAGAAAATGTTGATATTTACATGATGCGTTCTGATGTTGAAAATAGATATTTTTCTGACTTGCACTGGCCATGCAACTTAGAATAATATTTATGGTTAACTCATAATGTTCATGGACAATATTATTCCAACAAAAATTCAACTAAAATTACAAATGCAAGTCTAAGTCCAATGCCCCAGGATTTGTAAATTCGTCATAACTAGCCCCAGGACCCGGAAAAGCTTTAGCAAACGCTAGCTTGTCTAAAAGCTCATCAATAAAGAAAGAAGAGCTGAAAAGTTTTCTCTGACTAGAAGCCATGAAGTTCGGCCTCACTGCGTCATCTAGAAATTTGATTAGGTTATTAAAATAACCGTCAATATTCAAGAGACCAATGGGTTTACTGTGCAACCCTTCAGATGCCCATGAGATCAAAGTGAACAAACCATCCATAGTATCAATCCCTCCAGGAAGTACGATGAAGGCCTCCACTACATGATTCATCTCGAAATGCTTATAGTAATTGCTTGAAACTGTGTATTCTGCACCATACGTAGGTCCGTAGACCTGTCGTGCTGCTATGTACCCTGGTATGAAGCCTCTAACTATACCACCATTGGTATAGACTGTTGAAGCAACAACTCCTTGAAAGCCAACGTTGCCTCCTCCATAGGTAAGTCTAATTTTTCGCCTTACCAATTCCCTTCCTAAATCCACCGCCGTAGCCATGAACTTTGGATTTCTACCAAGAGAATGACTACCAAGTAAACCAACGAATTTTATGGTGTAAGGAAAAGTTCGAGATATTCCTTCCATAATGTGAGAATGTGAAATGCTTTGGCCACAATCGTGATATATATAGGCTCTGAAAACGTGACTTTTGAAAAAGGGTAATTATCCTCCGTCAAAATTTGTACAACAAAGATAGATTCAATTTACCTACTGACAATGACGTGTTCGCTAATAATACAGTCTGCTGACGATATGACATATCAAGACTCATGAACAGTTAGATTCGCTGTCCTGAAATACGTTCAAATCCAAGATGAAAAGTCAAATGGCTACTGCCCTGAAGACAACGACCCCTTCAGTAATTGAAAAAGACTACGTTACGACGTATGAATTGAAACAAACTGCAATTGTGCTTATCAAAGACCATTCAAGAGTATTGAAGAAATTTTCAATCGATTCTGTTAACCAAGGAAGTACAGATAAGACTCGTAACTAAACGAAGTTATGTATGTCAAGTATGCAATACTACACACTATGAAGGAACTTTTGTCATCAAAGGATCAGTGAAGACCTTACTTAATCGAAAATTGCTAATCTCTCGAAGATTGAACGAGTTTGGTGAAATCAATGACTTGAGAATACGTATCCGAAAGATGGCGACATAACCATATGAATATGAAACGGTCATGATCAGTGAGATCATTACAAAACGTTGAATGTTGAACCTAAGAAGAATTTCGAGGACGAAATTCCTTTTAAGGGGGGAGAAATCTAACGCCCCAAAACATACCCTAGAATTATTAATGAAAAAAAAAATCAATTAATCAAATTTGTTTTGATTAAAATAAATTATTGTTGGGCTTTGGGCCGATATGAAATGTGTTTTGACATCCAATATCAAAATCTGGATAAGTCTCATAGAGATAAATCCAATATGTGGACTATTTGTGTGGTCTTGATTGGGAACCCAAGTACAGACCCAAATCAAGAGTAAATAAAGAATTTGTTTAGAATGTAAATATTGAAATGATTTGTTAAAATAAATCATGAGAATAATTGATATGAATTAAATGAGAAAACCTTTTATGAGAAAGGTCAATTAAACCAATTTTGACTCTGTCAAAGTCAACCACCCAAAAATATGATGTCGGAAAAAGTGTTACAAATAAATATAAAAATTATATTTATGGATAGAGTTTAACTGTCTGATTGCAACGGTGCAAACGGATTTCAATTTGGAGAAAGTTGGACCAAAAAGTGTACCCCGACTGGAACCAAAATTGGTCCCAATCAGGGAATTACGTATCAAATTTTGGATATCACCACTGAATCCACTCAATCGATCGTGAGTCACAAATGACTCAGCAACAATTGGTTACTTCCTTCTCCAAATGCTATAAATGGGCACCCTCACTTATC